GCGATTAATTTTTTTAATCGCGATTAATTTTTTTTAGTTAAACATGTGAGTTAACTGTGATTAATCGACAGCCCTAGTATAAAGATACACTGTCAGGGTTGGAAGATCTAAAACTGACCCACAGTTCTTTGCCTCTGGAAGATCTTTCCACATCTGTGTGATTTCTGAAAAACAATCCATGCTGTAACTCAAAGAAAGAAAGAAAGAAAGAAAGAAAGAGAACAGACATTCCACTATCAAAGTGTATAAATGAGCTGGTGCACACATGATGTTTGAAGTGACTGGTTTTATTTACTGGAGATTTCCCTGTAATTCACACCTGCATTTATTTGATTTTATTTGCTTGTTTACTTTTTTTATTTTTGAGGCAGGAACATAAATTACAGGTTTCAGAGTGGTAGCCGTGTTAGTCTGTATCAGCAAAAAGAACGAGGAGTACTTGTGGCACCTTAGAGACTAACAAATTTATTTGAGCATAATACATTTATTAGTCTCTAAGGTGCCACAAGTACTCCTCATTCTTTTTGAACATAAATTTGCTTTTTCTAAAAACATATGTGTGGTCTCCAGAAAGTATAACATTCAGATAGAGCCATTTTCAACATTGACCAGTTGCTAGGTCTACCCAATTGTTGTTGTTATTACACTAGCACCTATATGCCATCTAAGTCGAGGTCCCATTGTGCTAGGTGCTGTACAGTCATATATCAAAATTGGTCTCTTCTCCAGAGAGTGGACAATCTCAGGCCACACTCCTGCAGCTGGACCTGTGCAGGCAAACCCTGAAGCCTGCGCAGAGCCCCATTGCTCCATACTGACATAATGGTGAATTCCCATGGATTGCTTAAGGCAAGATGTAACTTGTTGAGGGGGCACTAACTAATGGGGTTGGGGAGGGAAAAGAGTAGATGAAATCCTGGAGAAACGGCAGAAAAGGAAGGGAGTTATGGGCATAGCCAGTGACTGAGCTGTAAGTTGACATCTCCTGAAATATGTTTTTTTTTTCTTGGAAAATGTGAGATACTAAAAGAGATTTGTAATCATACATGTGTTCTTTCTTTCAGTAGTTGTCATGAATCATTCTCTGTTGTTCTGCCAAGGGTCTCTTCTGTTGGTTGCTCTGGACATTTTTCATCTGTCTGCTCAACGTTTTAAGAATCAGTACCCAGCCACCAGTTAGTCTTTCAAAATGCACTGTATCAACAAAGCTCTCTTCATGCCAGAATCACCCATGTCAGTAGGGCAAGCAGTTGCTTTGACTCCAAGATATTATTGTTAGTTACACAACACCAAGATATGCCTGGCATTTTACAGGCAAATAAGACAGTGTAATCAATATGCTCCCCTGCAAGACTCACCAAGTTCTGTTACAGTTCAGCATTTATGATATCACACCTTCTTCCATG